TGAGAACCAATAACAATTGGGATATGCGTGTTAGCGTGAAAACCGGATATGTCGTCAGCCTACCCAAAAACACTACTTGATGAGAGGTTCCAAGAGATAAGGTTCACAGAAGCTAGAAATTGAACTGTCCTAACTATAGAAAGAGACAGAAAACGCAAGAACCAGTGAATCAGTTCCCTACTATTTAGATTATGGTCGTATGCTGAAGTCCCAAATGTATATTACCTAGGAAGTATAAAACATCTTACCAAATTTGGATCTTGTCTTTGTTAAGTTAGAAGTAAAAAATTTACTTTCTGTCTTTATATATCTATTAAGTACTTTTTGGATATTCCGTATTATTTCTACCCTTTTTTGTAACGTTCATCTCTCAGACAAAAACTTACATCTGTGTATCAGGACAACACATGAAACATTAAACTTTAACCTCAAAACAAATGTGTCAATGACTTTAGCTTTCCACTCTTTCTGTTCACTTCTCAAAGTTACTGCCCAATTTGTTAGCTAATCAGAAGTATATAACTGTGCTATCCGGGTGATTACATTTATACTCATTATCTAATACAAAGGACCAATGCAGGGCTTATTCCTGCAACCTCAGACGGTTGTTGCACTGGAGTACCATTAGACCATGACGTAGTTGAACCAGGTTTTAACAAACATGGAATTGTCTTGACTTATATAGCATATGACATTATCTAAAGCAAAAGAGTCCAAATTTCAGGACTGGAGACTCATTCAATTTCTTCTAGCATACAAGCAACGATGTTTGGAGCAATATTTGTTCTCAAAGAGTATACTGATTTCCATTTGGTGTTTGTTCTATGTCTACTCACGGAAGAGAAAGGAAGACAATTTGTAAGAAACCTAACTACAGGTATTGAACAGAAAATGATGGTTACCTGCACAGCCAGCAATCCTAGAAAGCATGGTTTGTCAAAAAGATGAGCCAACAATAAATGCTTCGTATCTCCCTGAGCATAGTAAAAAGAAAGGTTAATACCACAACCCTGATGTCCACAATATTGTAAGTACTTCATATATATATATATGGAAACTAAAGTCCTAAGATGGTGCCAGGGACTTACTTAACCACAGAGAAAAATTTAAAAATCAATTAAAACCTATACCGATTAGGTTACCCCCATTTACAGCATACAAGGTGAACTTCTCATGTACTCATTTTAATACTTTTTAAATGCATATTCTAACTTTTGTAACAAAACAATTGGAAAAGTAAATTTTGGCATGGATTCCATCAAAATAGTAAACTCCATCGATATTCTACACAAGCTTATTCTCCTACTGTTTATAATGAGGCATATGACACACATCGGTAGTTCCATTTCCCTAACTGCATATTTTTAAAGAAAGATCCTGACAACTATGAATGGTACTTCCTACTAATGCTGAACAGGCAAACTAACTGTGCGCAAGTATAATGAATGATCTGGAGGAAGAACCAAAGGTACTTTGTTGGTAATCTTACTGTGATAACATATAACTTATAAAGAACATCATTCATGCCACCGGTTTCTTCATTAAGTGACACATAATGTCTTTCTACGCTGTACTGTGATATTACATTCTGCACACAGTTGTAAAAGTAATCGACCATCCATGTCACCATTTTTAAAGCTCGAGTATTTTCACCAAATGTATACTGATCCAATAGGCCTGCCAAGATCTGTCAAAGTATAAAAGTTGAAAAGCTAATCATGGCCCTTTGAGTCAAAATGAAGTAATAGCTCTAGTGAAACAAATTAAGAATATTCTACCTTGTGAATGGTGTAATAAGGAGCCCAGACAGGCTTAATAGCTTCAAATCGATCAAATTCCTTAGATGGAAAAGCAGAAAGATATCCACTGCCAATTTTCTTCTGACAAAGATATAGATTGTCCACTATTGCAGACATTTTATCTTTGAGGGTATTGTTGTGAGTGCTAGCCCACATTTGTGCTGATGCACTCAAGTAATGCCCTTCAAAATACAAAAGCAAGCTGTTCGTTATACATCACCATACAAGTACAAGCTGAATATTATAAATTAAAATTGCAAATGAAGGTAAGCCCTTTGCTGTAAAGGGGAGTACCATGGCGCCATGAAATTTGAGAAATAGTGACTGATACAAGACCTTTCCAGACCATTGTCTGGAAAGAGAGGAGAACGTGGAGGAAATGAATGCATTTGTATCATATTATTCATTCTCCACAATAATCCGAACAATGTGCAAGTGTTCTCCAAACTAAGATGGAAGGGGCACTTCCATAAGTGCCTTCCATTTATGGCAGTCTCACGAAGATTAACAGAAATGAAATTAGCTTTAATAAAATCGTAATCCCATTTTATAAAGCACGAGAAGACAATATGAATGTAGAAATGTCGTAATATGCGACAACAGAGAAATAAACACTGTGATCATCAAGATTAACAATTTCAACAAAGAAAACAAAAAGAACCAGTTAACAAATAACACTGACCTACAAAATGACCTCGAAGCTTGGGTCCTCCTCCCACCCCTTATATGGTGTCCCAATTGTTGGTAAACCTGCCGTCTTCCGAAAGCTCCAAAGTAAACTATCTGAGTCTAACATCAATAGGTACTCCAAATTTGTTTGCTGTGCCCGTCCATGTTGTGAAGTTGGATCCAACCTCACATCATGCAATGACACTTCCTTAAGAAAGCCTCCAGAGGCCTCAAAACCATTTGGATTTTTCATTTTCCTGTACATCATTGCCCATTCATTTTCATCTTCTTCCCTCAGTATCTTTCTTGGAAGCAAATTCATCCACGCAGAATCATCGGTTGGTATCAAGTGGTAGTACGAGAACATCTCTTCCTTCCGTGTTTCATTGTGGGAAGATAAAAGCTCATGTCGAAAACTATGTGATGAGAGCTGAGTAGGAATATTGGTACACTCCTTACCCAGAGAAAAACCACATAGAAAAATGATTATAAACACTGCTAACAAATCAATACACAGAAAGACCTTCATTTTCATTATGAAAAAAAAAAAAAACCAGATTAAAAGCTACCCAAATGTGATTGAAAGCAAGTAAGTAAATACCAACAAACCACTAAGCAGTCAAATGGAGATCACAACTTCACATTCAACTGCCAATAATCAAACGGTTCAATTTTTAAAAACCCAACAAAGAAAATCTCATCTAAGTGACAAAGCTCCATAAGAACAGAGAACAGAGCAAAGAAAACAATCAGTTTGACCTCAAAATTCAAGTAAAGAAAATCAAAGCATCTATTTTTGGCAAAACCCTGAAGACAGGGAATTCCAAATTCAGTGACCTTGGGAGGAACGTGATCAAAAACACATATTCTGAGTATAAATTGAATTAAAAAGTGTATAAAGAAAGAGAGACCAAGAAAAAGTTAAAGGCATAAGCACATGTGGGAGTGAGAGACTGAGACTGAGAGTGAGGGGCCTATATTTATAGGCACGAGCAGAGAAGCTAGAGTCCAAGATAGCAAGGGATATCCAAAACTATCTCTTGAAAGCAAAGAATGGTTTTTGCGTAAAGTTTATTTATAATATCTACAGAGCAATAATTCCACAGAAATCTGATTTACCATATCTATCTACAAGCTATGACTGTAATGAGAGAGAGAGAGAGAGAGAGAGAGAGAGAGAGAGGTGAGGATCAAGGATGTGGTGTCGTGTTTTGAGGAGGGGTTTGACCAAGCGAGGTTTGGGGGTTCAGGTTGAGGCCATATGAATCCAAGAAGAAAGGCACACAGCACCAAACCAAGACGACCCCGATGCCATTATTTGTGTTTGATTATCTCCTTATATCCCCCAACAAATGGCCTTCTTTTCGCTTCATTTTGACTGAAATTTCTAACCATTAATTGTAATTGATTTTTTATTTTTTTTTTGGTCAACATTGTAATTGATGGTTAGTCATATACCAAAAGTTTTGGTTGTTTTGAATGGAAAAGCAAACCCGATTTACGAGAAGAATCACTGAACCGGGTACATGACCGGGACCATCTCTCCCGCCATCTGCCGCCTGACCCGGCTCTCCAGCCTCACCATCGCCGATTGGAAGGGAATCACCAGCGAGATTCCGAAATGTATCACGACGCAAGTAAATACCAACAAACCACTAAGCAGTCAAATGGAGATCACAACTTCACATTCAACTGCCAATAATCAAACGGTTCAATTTTTAAAAACCCAACAAAGAAAATCTCATCTAAGTGACAAAGCTCCATAAGAACAGAGAACAGAGCAAAGAAAACAATCAGTTTGACCTCAAAATTCAAGTAAAGAAAATCAAAGCATCTATTTTTGGCAAAACCCTGAAGACAGGGAATTCCAAATTCAGTGACCTTGGGAGGAACGTGATCAAAAACACATATTCTGAGTATAAATTGAATTAAAAAGTGTATAAAGAAAGAGAGACCAAGAAAAAGTTAAAGGCATAAGCACATGTGGGAGTGAGAGACTGAGACTGAGAGTGAGGGGCCTATATTTATAGGCACGAGCAGAGAAGCTAGAGTCCAAGATAGCAAGGGATATCCAAAACTATCTCTTGAAAGCAAAGAATGGTTTTTGCGTAAAGTTTATTTATAATATCTACAGAGCAATAATTCCACAGAAATCTGATTTACCATATCTATCTACAAGCTATGACTGTAATGAGAGAGAGAGAGAGAGAGAGAGAGAGAGAGAGAGGTGAGGATCAAGGATGTGGTGTCGTGTTTTGAGGAGGGGTTTGACCAAGCGAGGTTTGGGGGTTCAGGTTGAGGCCATATGAATCCAAGAAGAAAGGCACACAGCACCAAACCAAGACGACCCCGATGCCATTATTTGTGTTTGATTATCTCCTTATATCCCCCAACAAATGGCCTTCTTTTCGCTTCATTTTGACTGAAATTTCTAACCATTAATTGTAATTGATTTTTTATTTTTTTTTTGGTCAACATTGTAATTGATGGTTAGTCATATACCAAAAGTTTTGGTTGTTTTGAATGGAAAAGCAAACCCGATTTACGAGAAGAATCACTGAACCGGGTACATGACCGGGACCATCTCTCCCGCCATCTGCCGCCTGACCCGGCTCTCCAGCCTCACCATCGCCGATTGGAAGGGAATCTCAGGCGAGATTCCGAAATGTATCACGACGCTGCCGTTCCTCCGAATCTTCGACCTCATCGGAAACAAAATCTCCGGCGAGATTCCGTCCAGTATCGGCCGGCTTCACCTGCTCACGGTCCTCAACTTCGCCGACAACCTCATTTCCGGCCCAATCCCGACCTCACTCACCAGCCTCTCCAGCCTCATGCACCTCGACCTCCGAAACAACAAAATTTCGGGGGAGCTGCCCCGAGATTTCAGCCGACTCGGCATGCTGAGCCGGGCCTTGCTGAGCCGAAACTTCATAGGCGGTACAATCCCGAGTTCGATTTCTCAAATTTACTGCCTCGCGGATCTGGATCTTTCCTTGAATCAGATTTCAGGTCCGATCCCCCCTACAATCGGCAAAATGGCGGTTCTCGCGACGCTAAATCTTGATTCGAACAAAATATCGGGTCGCATACCGCCGAGTTTGCTTGTCTCGGGCATTAGCGACTTGAATTTGAGCAAGAACTTTCTCGATGGTATTATACCGGATGTGTTTGGGCCGAGATCTTACTTCACCGTGATCGATTTATCGTTCAACAAATTGAGGGGCAATATCCCGAAATCTATGATTTCGGCTTCATATATCGGGCACTTGGATTTGAGCCATAACCACTTGTGTGGGAGAATTCCGGCAGGGTCGCCGTTCGATCACCTCGAAGCGTCGTCGTTTACTTACAACGATTGTCTTTGCGGGAAACCACTAAAAACCTGCTAATGAAAATGCATTGTGAAGGTGTTTGTATTATTGTAAGAGAGAGAGAGAGAGAGAGTTAATTAATTGTGTGTTTACCGCTTAATTACGTTCATTATATTGAATCAATCTTAAACGTTGTTATTATTATGATGACAATCGAAGAGTTTCTTTTTTTTGGACGAAGAGTTTCTTGTTTTCGTTTTCATGCACGTATTTTTGCATGAATCCAATGGAAAATTTGGGTGGGGCCCACACCACATGATCTTTGACCTGTGATTATAGGATTAAAGATGAAAAAGGGTAAACTATGTCGACTCATTACATGCAAAATATGTCCTTATTGATGTGACCTTCCACCAAGAAAATGCAAAATACTAGCGTTTGATGCTTTTGAAAATGCGATGACAAAAAGCGACATTCAATAATTGTAGACCACTTTTTCATTCTCCTCCATCTTAGGATACAAGATCTAATACAATGCTACCTGAATTTTAACTATTCATTTTTTTTTTGTTTTTTTCACAAATTTGTTTATCTAAATAATTAATTTTGATAATATTTTCAGATTAGATTTTTGGGTTCGTACGTGTCAATCTTTATTATACATTCATATCTCATAATCGGAAAAAAAAAAATCGGATAAGATTTCAGGAAAAAAAAACTTGAAAGTGAAAAAAATATTTAATAGAAAGTGAATAATAGTTGAAGGAGACGAAAATGTAAGAGGATTTGGTGTTAAAAGTGAAGAGTATTGGTTGGTATTTATAGAAAAAAATTTCATTAATTTGTGGGTATTTTTTTAAAAAAATTTCAAAATTTTTTCATTATTTTATTGCACAAAAATTCGCTACCGTTGGATTGGAGGAAAAAAAATCCAATCGGGCCCAGACGACGCCACGTGGCTGCTGGCTATGGGCGGCACTGTAGCGCGCTGACGTCATCCAAAACTCGAGCTCCAAGTCAGGCTAGCCTCCCTCGAGGGCCAGCCCAGTCTGCTGGGGTCCACTCCTTGCCCAGGCTTGCCTGCACTGTTGGAATCGATTTTTGGGCTCAGCCCGCCCCCCAGTGGATATGCTGGAAGTGCTCTTGGTGAGATAATGACTCTTCAAGTCGGAGTCTCATCAGTACAAATAGGGTTGACAATGGGTCGGGTCGTGTCGGGATAATAAACGTGTCAAGAATACTCAATCCGAACCCAACCCATTTAATAAACGTGTCGTGTCGTGTCGGGTTCGGGTCGTCTTTTATCATGTGGGTTTCGAGTCGTGTAACGGGTTCATAAATAATAGGGTTAATTACAGTTTGGTACCCTGAAGTTGTACCTTTAAGGCATGTTAGTCCCTATCTTTTCAATTTTAACAATCACGTACCCTTAGTTTGTAAATTTTATCTTTTCAATTTTAACAATCACGTACCCTTAGTTTGTAAATTTTTTGCATGTGGTTCCGCCATTAGGGTTTCTGTTAGATCTCTATGTTAATTGCCTATGTGGCATTGTGGGTCCCACATTTTTTAATTTTTTAAATTTTAAATTGATTAAAATATGAATAAAATATTAAAAATCAAAAATCAAAAAATTAAAAAATTTCTCTCTCTCTGCAACGAACCCAGAACCCAGCTCTCTTTCTACCCTTTTCTCAGTTTTCTACCAATGTCCAGCAGCGCCGTTTGGATGTTCCCTTCCAAATCCCGCTTCTCTTCTCTCCTCAATGTCGTCTCCACCAACCCTTTTGACAATGGCTTCGATTTGGGCTGCGACAGTGGCTTTCTCAGCTCCTTCCAGGGAAACCAACCTTCCAATTCCTCTGCTTTGATGGGTTTCACAGCCATCAATTCTCAATCTCAGATGGGTACTCCCGAATTGAGTTCGAGCGCCGAGTTCCCAACGACTCGGTTGCAGCCAGCGCCCAACAACGACACTGAGCTCGATGGCAACTTTAGCCTTACGGGCTTCCAAGGCTTCGATGGCTCTGGGGTGCTCTCAACAGGGCTAAGCCACTGAGACCCCTTCACGTATTCCCTCCAGTGGGTGCTCATCCCCCACTCTCTTTCAGAAGCGAGCGGCGCTTCGTCAAAACTTCGCCGGTTACGGGACCGATAAATTGGGGAATTTGGAGATTTCGGGGCCCAGATATGGAGGAGTTTTAGAAAGTTTGGAGAGGAAGAGGAAGAAGAACGTGGAGGGTGAAATGGAGGAAGGGAGTATGGATGTGTCTGGTTTGAATTATGACTCGGATGAGTTTAATGAGTATAGTCAAGTGGAGGAGAATGTGAAGAATGCTGGAAGCAATTCTAACGCCAACAGCACAGTCACTGGTGTTGACGGAGACCGCAAGGGCAAGAAGAACGGTTTACCGGCGAAAAATCTGATGGCGGAGAGGCGGCGGAGGAAGAAGCTCAATGATAGGCTCTACATGCTTAGGTCTGTTGTACCCAAGATAAGCAAGGTAGGAACTTGGTTGTCCCTTAATTTTTTTGCCTTGTTCCTTCTAACAACTTTCTTTGTGCTTTCTTTTCTTTTTCTTTTCTGCTATCATCCTTTTAATTTTACTTTTTCTGCTATTCATCCTTTTAATTTTACTTTTGGCTAGAGATTCATGCACCTGGTTCACGTGAGTTCCTTGTTCTATCGTTTTTAATTGAAGTGGCCGAGAGAGAGATATATATATATATATATATAGATATATGTATATATATTTAATTTTTTAGATTTTTTATTTTTTTTGGTTTTAAATATTTTAATCAATTTTAAATTAAAAAATTTGAAAATGTGGGACCCACCGTGCCACGTAGGCAACTAACAGAAAAATCTAACAGAAACCCTAACAGCGGAACCACATTGCAAAAAATTTACAAACTAAGGGTACATGATTGTTAAAATTGAAAAGATAGGGACTAACATGCCTTAAGGGTACAACTTCAGGGTACCAAACTGTAATTAACCCTAAATAATAACATGCATGTTACAAAACTCACAACTGAAAAAATTTAAACAAAAAACCAAGAGAGGAGAGAAAATATAAGGAAAAGAAAAAAAAAAAAGGGGAGAGAAAACTACAGAGAAGGAAAAGAAAGAAAAATAAAAGAAGAAAAAGAAACATTATAAATATCAAAAGTCATATTATACAATCACAAAGTTTTATGTAGCATAGTGGATAAGGTGTTGGAGGGTAATCAGGGTGGTAGGGGTTCGAAACCCCTTCTGTGTGTGCTGAAGACTCTATTTCTCGACAACACCATTGACAGTATTTGATGCTATCCCTGCTTGACAATCAAATGCAATGCGCAGTGATTAAATTCAAGAGCTAGTTTGTTTAGTTGTCTGTGGATTTAAGATAATCAGATTACATATGGGTACAAGTGAAAAAAGTTGCCTTAAAAATAGCTGTCACGAAAATCTCCTTGTCGGTTCTCTTTGTTTTTCCTTTGTATTGGTGCCATCATGAATTAATTACCCATGTTGATGGTATATCGCAGCTTTTATGCGCTTTGCTTATCCTTAAGGCCCCGTTTGGTGGGTTGGACTGGACTGATTAGGATTGGATTTTGAATGTTGGACTGATTTGGCTTGGATTGAGTTGGACTTTAATAAGTTGCTTTGTACATTAGGTTGAGCTAGACTGCATTGGACTAAAATCCAGTCCGTTGTTTGGTACAAGTATGGATTGGACTACATTAACTTCAAACAAAATTTATTTTAATGTTTATTAAAATTATTTAATATCAGAAATAATTAAATTTAATATAAAAAAAAACATGTACATAAAATTAAAAGGCAAAAGACCATTTTCTTTAGTGGTGAGGGGCAATTCAGTCAACAAATTATTATTTTCTTTACAAATAATTTTAAAACAATAAAATCAAATATATATAAAAATAAAAAATAAAAGCTAACCCCCTCCCCTCCTAACCCCACCCCTGAACCGTCACCCCAACCCAGCCATCCCCATCCCCAGTCAACCTCCCTCTCTGCACATCCCTATTCCCAGCAAACAATAACCACTTTCATAGAATATGTATACCGACTCCAGCCATGAATAGTAACCTGATGAATATTCATGGTCCCAACCTTTTAAATTGAAACAGTAACCTCCACATAACCACCATTAATCTCGATTCCAACCACCACTTAAACAGTACAAAGAAAACCCAGCCACCACTGCAGCATAAACAAGAAAACCCAGTCATAGAGTTGACGCCGGCGCCATTTCAGGTGATGTGAGTGACGGTGGTGGTTTGAAGAAGCAGAGAAAAAAAAATTATAAAAAACGAAAAAAAGAATCAAAATATAAAAACCAGAGAAAGAAGAAGAAGCATAAAATGGTGGGTTGGGTTCACCGGAGGAGAAGGGGGGATGAGGTTAGTTGGGTCTAGGGATGGCGGTGGTGATGCTGGATGTATCTTATCATTGCAGATGTACATGAATCAGGTGGAGGTACAGAGTGGAGTTTCTCAAATTTTAGTTTCAACACAGCTAGCCTGAATAAAGCTCTGCAAGATTGAGGCTTTTTTATATAAGCTTTAACCAGGTTTTATTGCTCTTTGTTTACTTAATTTTAAATTTTTTTTTGTAACACTTTAGTTCATTGGTTGTGTTTGTTGTGCTGGTTGTGTTTGGTGTGTTTGTTTTGTTCATTGGTTGTCTGTTTTTCACTTTCTAGACTTAAGAGTTGCACTAGAAAAATGGTTAGGAAACATGAATTTGGAAGTGCAAAAAGAAATAAAAGGAGAAAAATAGAAAAAATGATTCAAACTCAAAAAGGAGCTCTTGATAAGTTTTTTAAAACTAGTTCTTCAATTGAAGATTCAGCTGATGATTTACTTAATGAAGGGGTTGGTGATCTTAGTGAGAATGAAAATAATCTGGAAGAAATGATAGAAAATGATATAAATTAACTGAATGAGGGTGGTGAACCCATTGAGAATGAAAATAAGCAGGAAGAAATGATAGAAATTGATACAAATGTTGGGAATGAAAATAATGGGGAAGAAATGAGAAAAAATGATACAAATGAATTGAATCAGGTTGGTGATCAATTTCAGAATGAAAATGAAACTGAACAAATGAATCTTGCTTTGAATATCTATGATCCAAGAAATTGGGATGACATTGATAGCAAAACAAAGGATCTTTTGATGGCAATGAATATGATATTAATGCTGATGATTTGTGTTCTGAATTGGAAGTTTTACGATTGTATTTACCACTAGAGGCAAAGACAGCCATTCAAGTTCTTGATTATGTAAAATCTGTAGATTGCTTTCCAAATGTCTCGGTTGCTTATAGAATCATATTGACTGTGCCAGTGACTGTGGCATCTACAGAAAGAAGTTTTTCAAAATTAAAATTAATAAAATCTTACTTGCGTTCAACTATGTCACAAGAAAGGTTGAATGGATTGGCAATCTTATGCATTGAAAAGAATATGTTGGAAAAGCTTGATTTTGAAGATGTTATTGAAGATTTTGCTTCTCAAAATGCTAGAAGATCAAGGATTTTTCAGTGATTGATTGTACTTTTAATGTTACTATTTTTATTTTTTGGATTGTAGATGGTGCAAAGGAAATCAACCAGCTATTTGTGTATTTGATAAAGGGAAAGCATCGAATATTTGCACATTGTAATGGGGTGTGGATCTCTTAGTGGCTGCCTGTTTGGGAGGAAGAAGGCTCCAGGCAGATTTTGGACATGTCCAAATTTGCTGCAACCATTTCATATGTTGTTTTCAAAGCTGCTTTTGTGATCCAGATTAGTATTTTGAACAAATACTTAGTTTTAATGTATCTTGACATGTTCCCATTATTGGTTGCTGGAATGTTGGTTTGTAAATTTGTAATTTCCTTCATGATATTAATTGACAAATCATCTGTTTTAAGTTCATCAGCTATGACATTATAGCCAAAACAACTACAGCAGCTATAAACAAGGCCTACCACCATTGTGCCCTTTCTCATTGTAAACTATAACTATGCTTTGCTGTGTTATACATAAGAAACATTACACATTGACGTATTATTTTTTGAAGTACTTTAATTTATTTCATTTGGATGAGTTCTTATTGCCCCACTTACTCTTCCGACTCTCGGATAATTTTACCAAAACCGGCACAGGATGAACCATAAGCATGAACCCGTGTTCTTCATTATGAGCCTCTGCATATTTCGGTTCTCAATTCAGTGATGGACCCAGTTATTCTCATCCAGCAATTCAAAAGAACTACGAACATTATAAAGGAAACTCCTTCTGCAGAACATCTAGATTCCGAGAATCGCAGGCTTCCAACATGTCATTCCTGGAAGCACAGCTGCAACAAAGGCAAGAAAACAAGATATTTAAAAGGAACATTGTGGAGAACGACTTAAATATATATTTTTTCTTTTTTAACTTTTATATTAACAGTGTATTTGATAAAGGGAAAGCATCGAATATTTGCACATTGTAATGGGGTGTGGATCTCTTAGTGGCTGCCTGTTTGGGAGGAAGAAGGCTCCAGGCAGATTTTGGACCTGTCCAAATTTACTGCAACCATTTCATATGTTGTTTTCAAAGCTGCTTTTGTGATCCAGATTAGTATTTTGAACAAATACTTAGTTTTAATGTATCTTGACATGTTCCCATTATTGGTTGCTGGAATGTTGGTTTGTAAATTTGTAATTTCCTTCATGATATTAAATATCTAATCTGAATTTTTTTTATGGAGATATGTCCTATTATAATGCATTCTACCTTTTTATTCACGCGTTATGCTCTACATAAAATCATTTTATTTGTTTTTTCTCAATTGTATACTAAGGGAAGGGGCCTCATTTAGTTTATCGCCTAGGGTCACCCAAAAGTCAGGGCCGGCCCTGATAGTGATGGATCGATATTGATGCAGTGGCTATAGCTATAGGTCATCAAGTAGGTATTAGTAATAAGACCAACAAAATATGTCAGGCCTTCTTTTATCACAGTATATGATGAGTAATCTCTGCTTGCAGGCATTAGAAATATACGAAATTGACCTACTTGTTCAGTATATAGTCTGATTTTGATTGTGACGCTAAAACCTTTCTCTTTCCTCCATCCCAAAAGAAAACAAAAAAAACAAAATGAAAACTTGTGAAGCTCAGCTGTGTAAGATATTCATGTAAGTCATAAAAAACTAATATATAGAGAGAAGAATGGTGTTTGATTCTTCTCCCAGAGAGAGAGAGAGTCATAACAGTCTATCTATATGTATAGCCTTGTAGGTGAAGAATAATTACAAGCATTGTCTAGCCCTCCCTCCGTCACGAGTCATCACAAAGTATACAATTATGGTTATGTATTATTTTATGATTACAAGATCGAAAAAGTTACCTCAGCATTTTGGGATTTACAAATTTTCTACAATCATTAGTGCCAACATCTTATTATGATGCTAAAGGAATCTTTGGGAACTTGTGGACAAAATAACCCTTTCAATCCTTTGATTGCTCTGTCATTCATTTAGGAAGAACTTCCATACAATGGGGATGCCACAGTAGCAGTATTCCAAGCTAATCACACACTACCATGTGCGAAAGTTAAAACAAACAGTGTCATCCCCGGCGTAAGTTTCTCTTCTCATTTAGATACAAAGATTCACCTTTGTTTTTTTGTTCTTTTAAAGTACGGGGCAATCTCAACTTTTATACCTGAAATTTCTTCTAAGAATTGACAAATCATCTGTTTTAAGTTCATCAGCTATGACATTATAGCCAAAACAACTACAGCAGCTATAAACAAGGCCTACCACCATTGTGCCCTTTCTCATTGTAAACTATAACTATGCTTTGCTGTGTTATACATAAGAAACATTACACATTGACGTATTATTTTTTGAAGTACTTTAATTTATTTCATTTGGATGAGTTCGTATTGCCCCACTTACTCTTCCGACTCTCGGATAATTTTACCAAAACCGGCACAGGATGAACCATAAGCATGAACCCGTGTTCTTCATTATGAGCCTCTGCATATTTCGGTTCTCAATTCAGTGATGGACCCAGTTATTCTCATCCAGCAATTCAAAAGAACTACGAACATTATAAAGGAAACTCCTTCTGCAGAACATCTAGATTCCGAGAATCGCAGGCTTCCAACATGTCATTCCTGGAAGCACAGCTGCAACAAAGGCAAGAAAACAAGATATTTAAAAGGAACATTGTGGAGAACGACTTAAATATATATTTTTTCTTTTTTAACTTTTATATTAACATACCTCAAAGAAATTCTCAAATATTGCCAACCGTTATCTGCCTTCGGATTCATGGTAAGTGCTCGGACATAGTAACGAATGGAATCCTCATACATACCCTAGATGCATTCACAATAGGGAAGGAAGTTAATCGGTTAGACAAATGCTGTAAATCCCAAGATATTTAGGAAACTTTGATCACTTATAGCAGAAAGCAGAAATTAAATAACAAGCCATAAATTGTTGAAATTAATACCCACATGAACAATCAGAATTATGCATTTATAGCTCTACTAAATGCAATTACCTCGAAGAAAATATTTCAGGCTTTTGAGTTTGTTGGGAAACTAGTTGTACAGGTTTCAAGTAGGATAGCGGAAAGGGACCTACGCATATTTTAGGGACAGACTTGGAGTTTGGATATGTTTTAATGATATTTTATTATTAGAATCCCAAGGATCTAATTAGTCGCTATTGTTATGTAATTGTGTAATTTTATTATTTCTGGACTGCTACATAAATAGTTAATAGTGTAATTGGATTTTCAGTTTTGCCATGTTGAATGGGAGTAGACGTAAATTCACCTTGTCTCTCCCCTTCCTTCTCATTCTTCTTTTTCTCTCTCCTATATATTCCTTTGGTTGTGCATCTATATAGTATAACCACTTGCTTTTTACTCATTCTCAGAATCTCACTTCCTTTTCCATTGTAGTAAACATCAAAGTTTCAAACCAAACATTGTACGCAAGTCATTCTAAATGGATCTCTCCGTACTAACATAGCTCAAGGTTTGTTGGGCTCCTGTAGTCTAAAGTACAAATGAGAAAGAATCCATTTCTACAAGAATTTTCACAGCCAGTTATACAAGAAACCCAAAACAAAGTAGGAATAATAACTTCAGTTCCCATATAAAATTTCAAAGTGATAAGAGTCAACCATAAGAACTAACCTGGTTGGCATAACTGATACCCATATTTGCCCACGCACGAACATAATTAGGCTTCAAATCTAGTGCCTGCACTCCGGGAGATAAAACCAAAAGTTAGTTCTAAGTTGATAATATAAAGTTTTCGTGAAAGCCAATTAAAAAAGAACTACAGATATTCAGAGTATATTAATTAGAATTGTTAATTCAATTAAAGAATACAGTGTAATCTATAAAGAACAATGTATTGAAAGGCACTGAAAACCCAGTGGTAAACCCAAGCTCTAAGATCCATCTCTGAATTACAACCCACACATAATTCCCAATTGATGCACTAAAAGGACACAAGTAATAATTATAAATAAAAAATCTTAAATCACGGAATTGTTTATTTTGTAAATTAAGAAAGAAAAAGTATAGTTACTTTCTTGTTTGAGGCATGACAATAAGACAGATCAAGCGTGTGGGTTAAAAATTTGCAGGTTTCTGCTATGTTATTAGTGAATTCTCTACAAGCCGTCAAACAAACTACTCCAATCCAGAATGCTTAGATTTGACAAAATACCAAGTCTTGTTTACAAATGCTTATCAGTCAAACATAACAAGGGCTGCAGGGAAATTGTACGCTACATCTTTGCACAATGTTGGAAAGCCAACTTGTTCAAGCAGCATCTGAATGACCATTTTCCCTTAACACTTGCTAACAAAAGTTTAGTTCAAATATTATAAATTGCAGATAGTTTTTTATATACTACAGTGACTAAGGTGACTATTCCGTTCTACATTCGGAATGCAATGATTATTTTCTCCCTAAAGATTAACCGCACGAGTATATGAGGGTTGATTACACAAATTACCTGTTGATAAGCCAATATCGCATCAGCACTCTGAACACTGTTTGCCTGTGTTGCTCCAAGCTTGTTCCAGAGAGAGTAATCTTGCGGCTTTAGTTTCAAAGCTAATCGGAAGGACTCAATGGCTTTGTCATATTCTCTTGACAAGTTGTAAAGGACACCAAGTACTATATGCACATCAGCATCTTCAGGTGACATTTGAGCAGCTTCATTGAATAATCTAGCAACCTGCAGATTACAAATAAAGTTTATTCATACCCTATCTTATCGAGTAGCAAGCAAGTGGACTGAGTAACGGAAATCTAATACGGTCAAAAAACCATATGTGGTAGTATGATGGTCACCGAGACTTAACTAATGACTTGAACAGTAATGTCTTCAAGCCCCACTTTATATTGCAACAGACCACATCCAAAATTTGGAATGGAGAGTGCAGCCCCAACATTCTTGGGAATTTTGGGCACCGTGAAGGTCCAAATGGAACTCATCTTTTGCATGTATGACAAATTTGTCTGTGCCCTTTGTCACTATTGAACATTATGGGTCCCTACCAACTCACTAGTCCTTCCTTCTGTATTTGTGTTACATATTAAAACTGAATAATTTGTTAAGTTGGCCAGGAAACTTTTTCTACCTGAATAGTCTATTAGATAATTTTGTAGGTGACCGAATGAATGCTGACGGCAGAATCTTAGTATACAGACAGGAGAGTATTCTCCCATTGTACTGGGGTTGTATCCACCTGCTCTGTTTTCTAATAATAAGGATAAGAAAACTAGAAAAGTACACTCTCAATGCACATGAGGTTCCATTTCTCGTCACTACTTGCTTATAGATTAAAAAATGACCAGATCCACTGCAGTAACCATATACATAAGATACTCAAAAGTCAAAAGAGTATGAATTTCAGCCTAGGGAACCTAAAAACATGAAAATTCTAAAGCTGAACACTTACATCAGCATAGTACAAAGAATCCGACAGCTCTGGTCGGGCAAGCACCCCATACTTTTGGTGATGGCGTAGCCATCCATATAAATACTTTAAAGCAGCAGCCTGCTCCAATTCTGCATATTTGAAGAGTCTTATTAGTTTCTACGAACTCTAGAGAAGCATATTTCTCCAATTCCCAGAGTTTTTGTTTCTAAAGGAAAAAACCACATTTATTCACACAAAATGTGCTGCAGGGGCGTCAATGACTCAATACAATGATTAATTCCTTAAAGAACTTTCAACTAATGATTACTCAAATGAAGTTCTTTTACTTTACTTATAAACATGGAGAAGGAACAACTTACCATTTGTATGACTCACTCCAAGAGCAAGAAGCACTTCGAGATTTGTTGGATCAGCCTCCTCAGCACGCATCATAGCTGCAATGGCCTGCAAAGATTATAGTTCAGAACAGTTGTCATTCTATGAAGTAAACTCATATGTATGACACAAGGTGTGAAAGAAAGAGATGCTTTGAGCTGAAGCACTGTATGAAATTTGCAAAACTAATGGACATATTATAAGGACTTAATATAGTAGTATATATAGTCGTGTTATAGGAAGTATGCTGAAAATATACAATTTGTAAACACTAAATATCAAGAAAATAGGATTACCTGTTGATCGTCATCATTTTCTGCATGTGCTATTCCAAGTAGCCTCCAACCTTCAGCATTTTCAGGGTTCTTGAGAACTTCAGCTTCTAAAGCAAGCACTGCTTCACTCAAAAGACCCTTGTGGAACATGTCCTGGCCTTCTTTTAGTGGGTTTGGGTGACCGACATAAGGATTCATATCAGAAAACACATAGACCCCCCTTGAAGCATCAGAATGTTGTTTGGAAGCTACTTGCTCATTTAGGTACCTGCTTGACGATTATGGCAATTCAGTTTCTTGTCATAAGGGGAAAGCACATGATAACTGCAAACCCACATGGGAAAACTATATAACATTTTAAAACTAAAACAAAAATTCTCACACAACCCATGCTCATGAACTGCACAGTCCACTCTTCATCACTCAACTTTCCCCTTTTTCAACAAAAGCATATTAACAAAGAATGTTGAGTGACATATGCATAATGAACAGTGAAATTCTCTCCAGCTAAGGAGCAAGCACCTGCCTGGTATGCAGGAATTAAAAAGATTATAATGTGTACCAATTTAAGAACAATTTATCACTTGATTCCTCATAATGTGAGCCATCAGCTCTATGCGTATACCTAGGTGTCAATCTAAAGGCCAAAATCACCAACAGAAATGCATGACTCACTTAATTGATATAACTGAAAACTTAAGAAGTTACAGTGGCTTTAACCTTACAAATCTATGCCACAAATTCATTAACCATTGGATTAGACATCAATAAACAAACACCTTGAATATGCCATACTAACCTCTTCAAAGTAGAGTATAGAGTAAACAAAGTAGCACAACAATTCTCTCAAAGAAGATTGATTTGACTTACTCATCATATGCATTAGCCCAGGTATCAGCTGAAGTATCCCCCAAGATTCCTTCACCAACCTGATTTCCAAATTCCTCTGCCCAGTCATCAACATGCAACTTAGAGAACTGATTGACCCACTGATCATCAACTGACCCATGCTGCTCTTGTTCAGAAGCAAACTCATTTGCCCATTGATTGGGTCCATGAGATAGCTGGAAACCCATTAAAATTAGGCAGCATAAATTGGAACTGGATGTAACCTCATTGCATAACAGTTCAAGGTATTAAAAATATGCACTTATATATGAGTTTGGTACGTTTGAACAGGAGGTTCTTGTAATTCAATATTAGTCTCAATTTTTTACAACAAATTCCCCAAAAAAAAAAAAGTACTGGAAAAAAAAAAGGTAACACATGGACACAAAGCCCATCTCAACAGAGAGATCATATCTTTGCAGACATCCCATGCCACAGATTGCAGCTTTGCTGCCAAAAGGTATAGTTTAATTTGCCTTCAAGTATGAATTGCTAGCCTTGTTGCATTAAAATAAGATATTTTATTTTATTTCTTTTGTAAATCTTTTCGTATTTTTACGTTTCAAAACAAATGATTAGTTGATCGCTCCAAGATATAGAAGCATCTTCATTTATAAGGGCTCTGTGAAAAAAGTTAATAGTATTTGAAATATTATTACCAATTCAATTAAACTAGTTTTTGTATGTTCAAGTTTCTTTCATGTGTCAGCCAATACCATAAGTCATGCCAGAAACAAACTCAGCCCTTCATTCCATTCATAAATCAGAACCATGAACAGCTCACCCCCACACCCCACACCCTGCAACTCTCAGGAGAACAAGTATTTTGATAGAAACGCTTAAATACATAGGAAATGTTCTTAGAATATGGGTGGCTATAATTCAGAAACTGAAGGGAAATATAAAACAAGTGAAATAATATTTCATGTTCAGACCAGATTCCTACCTCACCACCGGCATATTCGTCAGCCCAATTAGGACCTGCATTATACTGTTGTTGATACTCCCCTGCCCAATCCCCAGATGCAGATGATGCGGCAGGCTTGACTTGATTATCATCGATAATGAGTTCACCACGACTCATCTTTGACACAAACTGGAGAAACCTCGACTTCTGCATGCCCCAAAAGGTAAACATATGAACAATGATGATGATGATGATTCTAAAAAGACAAGTATGCGATGTGAAGCAATTATTAATGCAATACAGATTCCCTATGACAAATTACATGTGATTGGGCCCAGCATCTGTTTATGACCAACGTCCTGACTAAATGTCATTTTAATTAACTGCCCCCAAGCAATTTGTTGGCCAGACATCAGGGATTAATTCATGTGTCTGCTAGCAAAAACTGAGAGATGGCCTTCTCAAGGACATGTATGAAATGAAAAAAAATAAACAGTCGGTTGGAGCATTTCTTGAGATTTTTATGAGACTTTAAGCGATGAATCATTTTTTGGGAATTCCAAAATTAGTCTCAAAATGACGAATTTCAAACAATACTTGTCATTGCTCTTCTGTAAAGCATAATTTGGAGATCAGTAAACCTGCTAATTTCTGAAACCAATTGACCCTATAGAATATGAAGTGCTTCAATAACAGATTATGCGACTATTGTGGTTCAATTGGTTCAGCTGAAAAAAGATAAGTCAATTACAAGGTGTGCATTAGCATTGTTGGAAAGAGTATCATTGATTCCAGTGTTCATTTGTTGATGCATTATTCACAACACTAAAAAAGTTCAAAATTTATTTGGAAACTAAGGAGGTGCATGCACACACATGGAGAATTTGTATAAACCTGAAACTTTGGGTCATCATTCTGAGCTAGTGTATTTGCAAGCATACGAGTCTGCTCCATTGCAGCTAAGTTTGCCATATTTGCACCTCTCATATGATCTGCAGACATCAACTGGGACTGTTCCTGTAACCAGGAGAAAGAGGAAATATCTATCATTTTAGCTATATCCATTTAACTTGATTCTAACTTCGGAGTCCAAATCCTATTACAACTAGGAGTATCAAGCAACATATACACATTGTCTTGCTCTTTCAGTTCAAGGTGAGCACATGAACAATAATGTGATGGAACCTAAACTAAGGTGATAAGCCTTGCTTAATTAAGGTGTCAAACCTTGGATATCCCTTCTTCTTTTTCATTTTTATTATTATTTATATTTCAAGCATACTCCACCATGCATCACTTGTTCCAAACCTCAAAAAACATCTATAAGGCTCTTTTGTCTTCACCACCAACAAGCCCCTGCTTCCAGGATTCCCAAAACTATAAATATTCACTGCCTACAAATAATCCCCAAATCCAAGTGACATCTATAGCTGAAGAAAATTGAAACTTACCCTACAAAAGCCTATTACTTTTCTACCACCAATTTAACCTCATCCACACATTTACAGATGTCTTTAGTTCAACTATAACAAAACTATGATAGCAAGAACTACTTGCAACTGTTGTTCTGCAAAACATTACAAAGGTCAATGGTTGACCAATAGCACATAAGTCTAGAATCAATGGATGTGATTGAAATACCAACTACAATACTCCTTTTCCTGCTCAAATTCGGAGGCCCAACCATTGGCACCATGTTGTCGCTCAAATGAGTGAGCCCACGCATTAGGATCACCATGATCTACTCTGTGTTGGTTAAATTCAGTCACCCATCCTTCTGTAGCGTGAGCACCAGGTTTCATTATAGCTTGGGATTCATTCCAATAATCCTCCAGTTCCCGAAACCTTGCAGGCAGAGGTCCTTTACTGTTGACATCACTCTCAATATCTAAAGAAGATAGAAGTGCATTTACCTGGAAAAGTAAAAAGTACTAAATAAACCGAAACTGTTGAGAAAATGTCTTGCAGAGAACAGGACAAGGCATCTTTAACATGAACAACTCAAGAAACAAATTGCTGATACAGACCCAAAGACATGCAAGAAATGACAACGATCCAGAAAAAAATTTACTCTAGGGTGCTCATAGAGCAAACCAAAATGACATATTTTACTAGAATTTAAATAAATTTAAATTTCTAACTGAGAAATTCTAAATATGTATGCAAATCGCAGTAAAGAAAATAAGAGAAAATTAGAGGGATAATGATAAAATGTTCAGTCAAATCTCAACTGTGAATGCCTGAACTGTTGACAATGGTGTTCATCCCTACTTAGCTTACTCCATGAAGGAATATTCAGAATTGGAGCAAATAAAAGCAACCAAAGAACTTTTGAAGCATACGATACAATTGAGGTAAGAGAAATAAAGTTCCAAACCTGCCCATTAATAAAATCTTCACTTTTATCTGCAAAAAAATGTCGGGCCATGATGCTGGTGCGATCACGTATGCACCATTTGTCACCAGCGGACAATCCTAACACTGGAAGTGGAGCCGGACGGAAAGGCATTCCACCACGGCTACTTTCAACAAATGAGTGCAAAAAGCTTGACAACACCCTTTGTGGTGGCCCTGAAACACACAATTAGAAGGGAGATAAATCTCAAAATTAATCTTCAATCCTTTAAGCTGAAGATAGATACTGCTCCTGGTTATTTGATCAGAAAGAGACCCTCGTGCAATTGAATATAAAAGAAAGAAACTTCTACACGTTAAATTCCTTTTTTTTTTTCAATCTACCTGTTAGCGTTTTGGGGGAAAATAGTTGTTTTTCGTGCAGTCCATATGCCACATTAGGCCAAATGATGATTGGTCATCCCGTATATAAAGTTCATTTACCACTTTCAAAATGTCCTATTGCTCCATTAAGTCCATAAACACCAGAATAAAGATAAACAAGCTGCTCTCTATATCCAGAAATTCTACTTGATCTTAGAATGTTGTGCTCAAGACTCCCTCTCTCATCCCATAACCCTACTTTTGAGTGGACATACACATGGACAAGTGAACTCTTCTTTGGGTGACCTGGAGCGCTTAGGTAGTGCCTATTAACATGGACAATATGAGGCAGTTTGGCATCATATTGTAGTATTCAACCTAAACGCCTAGGAGGATAGGCTCAAAAGGTGCACATGGCCAGCAAGATTGAGGCACTAGTGCCCAAAGCAAGAAGCTTCAAACAGACCTTTTGCCTTATTATAAAATACTACCGTGAAGCTGGAAGAGGATATACAACTTATAACTCATCTGATAATAGAAATAACAAAAGATCATTTCTCTTTCCACCATGAACTACAAAATCTCAATAATGCATCGCTAAGATTCTTGAATGTATAATGATCGCTTCCTGGACTCACTTGAGCCAAAGAACTGTTTCACACATTAACTGGCAATTAAGAAAGTTTAACTAAACTTTTCAAGCTTCTTCCTTACTTCAAAGTTAAGCCCTTCAAGAAATATCATAAAGTAGCTCCGACATCCAAACCTTCAAAAGTATCCCATACTGTGTGTTCTTTTCATTTCTAAATGCCAGCTTTTGTCTCTTAGTCTTCTGCCAAACACTCTTCCTCAAGCAACTCTACTAATCTTTAATGTTGGTAAACAGAACCCAATTCTCCTTTCTTGAACAAGCATCTTGTGATTTATATATTCTCTAATGTTACTAAGCTCTAGCGTTGGCAATCAGTTAATAACATGTAGGAAACAAATAGTATAAAAACAAAAAATTTGAGAGATTTACCATCCAAAGTCGGTTGAAGCTGAGGAGCAGCTCCAAGATCATAAATGCGGTCAAGTTGAGGAACATGCATAGGCGGAGGTTGAGAACTCTGTATCTCATCCCATGCATTGTCAAGTAGTCTATTGCCGTCAACAGAGTTGAAGTTTCGAAGAAAGTCCGAGCTCTGAACAAAACGACAACGCAAATTAAGTACAAGACTAGAAGTGAAGGCAGTGAAAAAGATTAGAGCTTCGATTGCCAGTACCTGAGTGCCAGGTTGCATAAACGGCTGCTCAAACTCCGAGCCAGGGAGTTGCTGCAGGTGGCCATGGGCGTCCGGATAAAACTGCGGCTCAGAAGCTGTGGGCGTGGATTGAGGTATCTCCTTCAACCTTTCCTGCGCGTGAATTGAACAGAAGCATGAGAAAACGACGCCGTAGAAGCCACTGATGATGAAATTGGGGATCGAAAATTCAAAATGAAGAAGAGAAACTGAAATTGAAAAGAGCGAAGAGGGAGACGACGAACCTGTGTCTTGGAAGAAGAGCCGATAAGAGCGTTGGCGAGAGCACCGAAAGGATTGGCGGAAGAAGATGAGCCTGGAACCGCACAAGCTGCTCCGCCAGTCACAAGCTCGCGCATCGCCATGGTCGATGGTCTTCTTCTTCTTCTTCCTCGTCAATCCACAACAGAATTATACAACAACCACCACCACCAGTGTATATATTTTTTTCTGTGTTATTAAATATATAAAATAAAATAAAAATGAATAAATTTAAGTCGGTTGGTTGGGTTGGGAATTGGGAATTGTAGAGATTAGTCTTTTGGGGATAACAGCTTTTGATGGCTTCCAGTTCCTATCAGTTGTCTTCGCCTGCCAGAGTTATCGATGAATTTCAATTTTCCATTTTTCTTTATTATTCGTATTATTATTTTGGTTCATCTTCCTCGTTGGGTCGTGTGCTGACGTGGGCGAAAGTACACAACTTGCCTTTGTCCATGAGTTCTCTATCTATTTTGTTTTTAACAATAAAACTCTAGTAATTTCCCTTTTTTTTACAAGCAAATTGAGAAAGGGAGAATTTGAACCTCGTGTGTACAAGTAATTGCTCGTAGCTATTGAAGCTACACTTTTACTCTAAACTTTAAACCATTCAACTTGATTTATCAAGGCCACTACGAACACTCAATCTTGAAAAATTGTGAACAATTATTTGAAGTAGAGCTTAAAAAGATCGATCATTTATACCACAAGGGCTCGTTTGGTACACATGACTGTCTAGGCATGGACTATGCTTAGGGATTGTCTTGGCTTGGCTTGGCTTGGTATAAGTTGGATAACACTTATCCTGCGTTTGGTATACGCTTGGACTATAACTAGATTTTTATTTTTTATTTTTTCAAAACTATCTATGTATATGTATATATGTATAAATACATGTATTATGTATGTACACATATGTATTGTGGGAGTAAGGTTGAAAGAGTGATTTGTATTTTTTATGAGTTGTGTTATGATCAATTTTACATGCGCGTGAATGATTTTTTATGTATGTAATCACAATGTATAAAATTTAGGCACATAAATCTTGTGTTACGTTACATATAGTTGAGTGCATAGTGGGCTTTTTTTTTTCTTTTAATAAGGAAGGGATATCAAAAAAGTGGTTTCTATCATTTATTTTTACTTTTATTTTTATGTAAGGAAGGGAATATAGAAGTTTATTATGTTGTGGGCCTAGAAGAATTTGTGGCCTTCGATTTTTGGGCTGGGCCAGATCTCATTGAATCGTTCCAAAACACACAGGCTGAGGCCCAACCCCTGAAACGAACTGAGCGAGTCTGAGTCAGCAACTCGGAAATTGGAAGAATAAAACAGTCAAAAAACAAAAGAAAAACGAAGCAAAAGAGCAGAAGCAGCAAAACGAAGAGCCAAAAATCCCCAAATCGGAAATTGGGAGGATGGCAGAGTCGTCGAGCAGCGGGCTGACGTTCAAGCTTCACCCTTTGGTGATCGTGAACATATCGGATCACTATTCGAGGGTTAAGTCTCAGATGCACCCGCCCATCACCAACACAGCGACAACAACAACAACGCCACCACCCAACAATGGCGCCGAAGGAGCAGTAGAAACAGCGCCTTCTTCTTCTTCTTCCTCTGCCTTGGCCTCGTCTCCGAGGGTCTTCGGCTGCGTTATTGGGGTTCAGAGGGGCCGCACAGTCGAGATCTTTAACAGCTTCGAGCTCCTTTATGATCCTGCAACTCACTCCCTCGACCGTACCTTCCTCGAGAAGAAGCAAGAGCTCTGTTGCGTTCTCGTTCCTTAATGAGTTTTCATTTATTTTTGTGTGATGGTTTTAGGGGTCCAATGAATGGTTGAGCTAACCCAATAATCTTTTTCTTTCTTTTGTCAGATAAGAAGGTGTTCCCGCACTTTTACATACTGGGATGGTACTCTACGGGGACTGATGCTCAGGAATCTGATATGAACATCCACAAAGCTGTAATTTTCGTCACCTTTCTCATTGCATATGCTTATGTGCAACTTTTACCTTTTGGAATCCCTAAACACTATATTATGTGACACTTTCAAAGACCTAATCACGTCAACTATGAACCCATCAAGGTTTCTTTCTTGAATTTAAAATTCTATTGCCAAAGTTTCAAGTAATTGCACACTAGAGCTTTGTGCAAGTGACCAATGCTGTCTGGATGCATGTTTCTTTTTAATTATGATGATTAAGATGCATTTTATTTCCGCATTGATAATAATGCTGCGTGTTTGGCGACAACAACAACAACGCCACCACCCAACAATGGCGCCGAAGGAGCAGTAGAAACAGCGCCTTCTTCTTCTTCTTCCTCTGCCTTGGCCTCGTCTCCGAGGGTCTTCGGCTGCGTTATTGGGGTTCAGAGGGGCCGCACAGTCGAGATCTTTAACAGCTTCGAGCTCCTTTATGATCCTGCAACTCACTCCCTCGACCGTGCTTTCCTCGAGAAGAAGCAAGAGCTCTGTTGCGTTCTCGTTCCTTATGAGTTTTCATTTATTTTTGTGTGATGGTTTTAGGGTTCCAATGAATGGTTGCGCTAACCCAATAATCTTTTTCTTTCTTTTGTCAGATAAGAAGGTGTTCCCGCACTTTTACATACTGGGATGGTACTCTACGGGGACTGATGCTCAGGAATCTGATATGAACATCCACAAAGCTGTAATTTTCGTCACCTTTCTCATTGCATATGCTTAATGTGCAACTTTTACCTTTTGGAATCCCTAAACACTATATTATGTGACACTTTCAAAGACCTAATCACGTCAACTATGAACCCATCAAGGGTTCTTTCTTGAATTTGAAATTCTATTGCCAAAGTTTCGAGTAATTGCACACTAGAGCTTTGTGCAAGTGACCAATGCTGTCTGGATGCATGTTTCTTTTTAATTATGATGATTAAGATGCATTTTATTTCCGCATTGATAATAATGCTGCGTGTTTGCTTTGTCACAGTTGATGGATATCAATGAAAGCCCTGTTTATGTTCTCCTCAACCCTTTGATCAACCCTGCCCAAAAGGATCTCCCAATCACTATTTACGAAAGTGGTATGTCTGCTGCATTGTTATCTTACTATGTATATGAGCTTTTGTGAGCATTGCCAATTAGTTGTACACCTAGGATTTTCCCGATTTTCTGAATTACCTATGATATCTAGTGTCACTGTGTCATTTTCCATAGCTGATGTGTGAGTTTGCACGTGTTATCTTCCTGCAGTATACATGCAGTTCATTCTTGTTCCTATATACTAGCATGGATCACTTATTTCTGTTTACACTGGTTGGTTGTTGTTTGTTTGAGGTACTGTATTGGAATCATCCATTTTTTGTGCTGCCTAAGCAGCAATGCTTGAGAAACTATGGCAAACTAAAGTGCTATAGTGTCAGTGCCAGTTCTTTCTAGATACTCTTTAAGATAAGGTTGCCCATTAAACTTCGTTGTTGTTCAGGCTTGGTCGTTTTGTAATAAGTAGGCTGTTCTTTGCGTCTTGTGTTATCTTCCTGCAGTATACATGCAGTTCATTCTTGTTCCTATATACTAGCATGGATCACTTATTTCTGTTTACACTGGTTGGTTGTTGTTTGTTTGAGGTACTGTATTGGAATCATCCATTTTTTGTGCTGCCTAAGCAGCAATGCTTGAGAAACTATGGCAAACTAAAGTGCTATAGTGTCAGTGCCAGTTCTTTCTAGATACTCTTTAAGATAAGGTTGCCCATTAAACTTCGTTGTTGTTCAGGCTTGGTCGTTTTGTAATAAGTAGGCTGTTCTTTGCGTCTTGGCATGTTTAGAATTTCCATTTGATTAGTTTTCCATAAATAAAAAAAACCCTCACATTGATGATGTTGTGCTACAATTTTATCAATATTGGGCTCTCCTTACTCAATGTTATATAGGATTTTTTTTTTCGTTTGTTGTATAATTACTAGTTCCTTTAATTCTCATTAGTTCTGTTAAAGTCATGGTCCAAGTGAAATCCATGTGCTGAATTTTGTGATTTTTTTTCACTAGTATAATTTGTTAGGGTCTCTCCCCTTTTGTAAATGAAGGGTCTTGGAAGTTCTTTTTCTTTTCTCCCCCCAAATATTATAGAGTTCATTCTTATGAGAACTTATGTGATTTGAACAGATTGCTTGCTTCATATAGTTTTCTGTTTATATGTTCACTGTCTTAACTTTTTTTTGGTTTTGTGGTGTTAACATTACAATTCTAGAGCTGCATGTCATCGATGGGATTCCACAGCTGATTTTTGTCAGTTCAAGTTACACGATTGAGGTTAGACTTATTCATTCTTATCTACCTTAAATGTTATTAACTATTATCAAGCAGGGTTACTAATACATTTTATTTTTTATTTTTTTGTGTTTCAAAGACGGTAGAAGCTGAACGTATCTCAGTGGATCATGTCGCTCATCTTAAACCATCTGATGGAGGTTCAGCAGCAACTCAATGTGAGCTCTCTCTCTCTCTCTCTCTGTAATTGTGTGGAGGTATGTGTTTCATCTATTTCTGATTAGAACCTGGTCTGTGGATTTTGTGCAGTGGCTGCTCATCTTACAGGATTCACAGTGCCATCAAGATGCTAAATAGCAGAATTAGAGTGCTTCATCACTATCTTCTAGCTATGCAGAAAGGTGTGTACATGCTTTTAGTAGAAGATGATGGATTCATTATTAATGTAGATATCACTATATGAGTACATGCGAAGGATACAATCAACCCCCAGAACTTTGAAAAAAAAAAGAGATAAGAAAAGTCCATAAACGAGTCTTATACCTCAGAACTAATAAAAACAAGAATTTGTAATAATTGCTCTTGTTTCCTTGTATGCAGGTGATATACCTTGTGAGAATTCTCTGCTAAGGCAAGTATCAAGTCTTCTGAGGAGGTTGCCTGCCATTGAATCTGGGAAATTTCAAGATGATTTCTTGATGGTGAGTGTTGCTTGTTTCAAGATGATTTATTTTCAATATTTACATGTGATGTCTGATTGCAGATACTGGCTGCAGATAAGCTGACATCTTTATCTCATTACTTGCTCTGTTGCTCACTCCTTTGTTCTTTTTTTCTTTTTGTAGGAATACAATGACACATTATTGATTACATCTTTAGCTGTGCTTACCAACTGCTCAAGGTATGAACTGGATTGAACTTTTCACTGTCGAACATTCTATTACAATAGAATCCTGTAAGAGCTATTTTAACAAAATAGAAGATAAACAGTATAATGTCAACATAAACTATTCTATGTCAAACCATTTTGATGCTAGATGTGAAATTGTGTTCTTACACCTGGAATATTGTTTATTCAATGGGAGTTGTCATAGGGTTTAGCATACAAATATGGTTCGAATCTACAATCGCAATCATACTAATG